TATTTCATCTGAAATTTTAAAGTTAATCACCATTATTATTTTTAGTATCAGCAGAAAAGCTAAAAAAAGATCTCTTTAATATAAATCAATTTCTCTCAAAATTAAATTTATGTAAACATTGTCTCAATATACATTGTAGTTATTTAATTATACTTGCATGTAAAATTATTAATAAAATATATATTGTGTGTCGTTATAACTAGGATTAATTAACTATTCAATTTAAATTTATAACTACATGGGTCTATTAAGTTGAGGAAATTTATTATAATAAATCAAAATAACTTCACTTTTAAAAAATTTCAGAAACTGTATAAGTTCTGAAAATTTGCTCCATTTTGTTTTTAAATCTTTTTTTCGTGTTTAGCCTTATTACTATCGTTCTCTTTTGGATTATTAGAAAAATATCAATTTAAGGGAAATAACATGACCTATCATTCTATGTCGATGAGAAAAATGAAACTTCAATTTCCTGCAAATTTCTATTTGATCTGGTAAAATTATTAATTTTAGAGCAGTTTTGTTATTTATTTATTTTGAAAAAAAGAGAAAAAAATGTTTTTTTCTTTTGCAATTTACATAGTAAAATTCTTCAACTGTTAAATCTTTTGTATAATTAAAGTATTTTTGGTTACATCATTCATAATGGTGCTGCATTGTGCATTTTTAGCTCTCTCTATATGCATATATATTGTCATAGTTCTGAAATAACCTTATGAACTAAATATTAGAGATGTGAGTGTTTTATAGAATAATCGTGTAATTTTGTTTGCAAGTATATTGAAGGTAAATAAACAAGCCCATTGTTTATAAATGACGTAAACAGGGAACCAGAGCGCTCCGAAGCTGTGTCGAAAGCTCTAAATTTTTCCACGCCCCAGGCATTTAAAATTTTTAGACTTAAAATTTTTAAAAAATGGCAGATTTTTAAGTTTTTAATTTCTGCATGATTATATAAATACATATAATTTGCGTCTGGCTGATATATTTGATTTAAAACGGCAGTATTTATTTCCGTTCTTGATATCTAATAATTATACAATCAAAGTATGAAATTGATTAAATCAAATTCTAAGGGGAAAAAGTAATAAGTCAAAATGGAAAAGCGCTAAAATCAGCTAAAACCAAATTCGTCTTATATAAACAATTTAAATAAAAAGTTAGAAACCAAAAACGAAATTCTAAAGATATGAATTTTTAGCAAAAACGGCACTTAATTAAGGGTTAGCAGACAGTATGTCCCCTGATGAAGTGCTATTTTTGCTAATATCTTTAGAATTTTGTTTTTGCTTATTTTATAATTATGACATACTAATATCTGAAATTCATTTTTATACTTAAAACATTATATCTGTAATTAAGTAGTTGCTTCATTGTTTCATTCTGGGCATTAAAATAAGTTTATAATGCTTTAAGATCAAATATGAAGGAGGATTTGATAATTCAATTATTTTCTTAAGAATGAACAAATAACTCAAATGAGAATTAAATTGAATTAGTATTTTCTGTGTAAGCTGGTGATTGTTATTTTTTTTAATATTTTGTTTCATTGTAAAAATTTAAAATTAAAAGCTGAAATTCAAAAGCCTGCATAAATATATAGTAAAATTGTTGGAGCTTTAACTTATTATCTAGGCGCAGAGCTGGAGCATCGAAAATTTATTGGCTTCGGATCCCTGGAACTAGATGTTTATTTTCTGTTAAACATATGATTATTTACTGGTAGCATGGTAGTTTCTTACCAATATATTCCTTCAGCAATGGCATTTATTTATAAAGAACTAAGCAGTATTTTGTACTTGAAAGTTGTGGAAATGCCAAATATTATCTGAATGCTTATTTCGTAATTTGTGTTCATGTGCCCATTTGCTCAATGAGAAATCAGTGTCTTACACGCGGCGTTTTCTAAAAACAAAATGCATTTCAGAAGAGGAGTATTTCATAAATACTCAGTGGCGCCAATAACGCTTACTATTTTTTGTTGTTGATGGACTTTCTGTTTCTTCATTTGTACATTTCGTATTTTCACACTAATTGGTTAAGGGTGTGATATTGTATAACTTTTTTTTGATTCTGTATATATTCTGTTTTGTACAGAAAAGAAATTTATTGTCGTGCCAGAGTTATATTGCTTTTGATATTTTAGAATATGTTTTATGAAATAAAATATCATTCTCTTCCATAATAGTGAAGATTTTTTAGACTGAATGATTTGATACACAAGAAAGTTTTCATACACTGAGACAAAATGGCTATATAAAAAAATACCCAAAGAAGAAATCAAGGAAGCTGGAAAATACTTATGAAAACTAGCCTTTTTCAAATTATAAAGACTAATATTTCTCATAAAAAAAGCACAGAGGTAAGTGAATTAGCCACACTTCAGTCAAAAAGTCTTATTAAGCTGGTAAGTAGTAAGTATCAAAAATAAAAAAATACTATCAATACTTTAGCTATAACAGATCATCTCTTTAAAACTCTAGTGAATTTGTATACTACAGGAGTAAGAATTCTCACTTTAGCTAGCAAAAAGAGATTGATTAAGCATGTAAGTACAAATATCTGCTCTCAACTAATATTATAATTTTGTTTAATGCTATATTTAATTTATTCATTTTCAGAAGAACTTCATCTTTCTACCTTCAACAAGTAAATGTGGGCTTTTTAAGAACAAATTTATCTGTTGACAATTTGTAACTTGAAGGTTTAATTTTGTTAGGGGAAAAAAACGCCTTTAAAAGCACATTTTTATAAAAATATAATTTTAAAAATGTTATGATATATTGTTTGCCTGGTCCCACTTTACTCCTATGTGATGCATGAGGCCAAAAGTATGTTTTAACGCGACAATTTTATACACTTTTATAAACATCCTATCACCTTCATACCATTTTTACTTTGTGCGTTTTAGACTTTACTCATACTTTTTATCTGGTTTTATTCACTTACTAGTACTGTTTTATCAGCTACAATTTAAATTTTGTATGCACTTAGGCTTTGAACTGTTTTACTGTATTGTTTGTCCTCATTTGGACCTTGTGCCACTAAATAGTACACTAAATCAATCAATGAGGCAACAAGTATCTTGTAACACCTTTCATGCATCTTGATCCAGTCCCTAACTGGCCTACCCGAAGGTCTTGCCGGCTTTTAAAATCATCTCACAAAGTGTCATTGTTGGTTGTCCTCTCTTTATGTGGCCATCTGATGTCTGAGTTAGTGCTTTTCTTAAAGGAATCAAATAATTTCATTTGAATTCATTGAATTAATCCCATTCAAGCACCACTTTTTCAGGTCTTAAGTTAAGAAAGTTTTTTTTTAGATCTTGGTTTCTTATGAAAGTTCCTGCTTGTACTAAAAATAATTTTTTTATTGTTGCATTATAAATTTGAATTTTTAGATTATTAATGTCATGTAGACCTTCAGACTATTCATAGCCTTTTAAAAGCATGACGTTCTTTCTTCATTCTTCACTTTCTATCATCACAATTGTTTACTAATCTTTAATTCTAAATATACCTATCACATTCTTTATTTACTTTAAGTTTTATATCATCATAAATTTAATATTTTCTTTTCTGACTTATGTACTTATCTTACAGTTGAACATCATTGCCTGTTTCCAATAGTATACCTTATTTAAGAATTCTTTTAAATCTAAAAACCTTCTTATTGATTTATGCATTTCATCAAAACTTTGAATCAAGCTTATCAGCATCGTATCTGTCCAATGATTAATGCACAATTTAATACTGTTGACACATAATCTACTGAGTATTCTAACCACATCCTTCACATTAAGTATTTCATGCCTGTTATCATGAAATTTTTAGTCATAGATTACATAAAGTAAACCCTCGAAAACCGTACTATGCACGAATTTGCACGATGTGTAGAGTAAGAAATGATACTACCTGAATGATTATTTTAACTAGTAATTAGATTTTTACGAATGAAAATACAACACTTACGTTTTAAAAAACCTATCTGAAATATGACAATTTGTACAAACAATATCTGAAGTTGCAAAATATGACAGAAAAATATTTTTTACTTGTTTAAATTTCTTTTGTTTGTAACAGATTACGGTTTTTAACCCCAAGATATGATGGTGGCTGCGTTATGAAAAATAAGGAGTTAAATTAGGTAAGCCTCTTTCTGTTATTTTTACTTTCTACTTATTTTGCCTAATCTCTAGAACTACCTGCACCAATAAAAAACAATTTCAGGCTTCGTAGCCCTTCTATATCCATGCTCAATTTTAGTATTCAAACGTTAAGAAAATAAAATGCTATCTGCAAGGCTTTTGCATGGAAACGGAAACATAAGATTCAGACTTTCATAATCTTGATCTAAACTTTTTGAAGTTGGTACTACTTGATGAACCTGTGCTATAGAATTGATAATTTATATTTTTTTTTAAATTATTAACATTATACTTATTCTTAAAGCTTTATAACCTACTGTTAGTAATAGTTAAACTTATTTTGGAAAGTTGAGTTTTAAAGGTTTTGTTTTGGTAAAAATGCGTAAATTCCTGGTTTGTCAATATGTTTTAAAATTTAGCCAAAAGAAGGCCACTTTTTTGTTTCCAAGAATTGAGAGCACTTTCAATTTTTTTTCAATGACTTTAAATAATTAAAATCAATTTATGTGTTTCATGAATTCAACTTTTTATTTAACTTGAAATGAGTTTTTAAATATTTCCTGGTCAAAGATCAGAAAATTTATTAATTCAGATTTTTTTTTGTTGATTTTTTTATCTTGCATGAAAGCTAATAATGCTATTTCTGACAGCTTTGTCCTTAATTTTTTAAAATATGAATGCACTTTAACATTTGGTGAAATGATTAAGAAGAATTGTAATTTGTTTAAACCGAATGCAGTTAAATTCACATACATCATAAAAAATAAAATTTATATTGTAATTATCAAATTGTTCTGAAAAGAAACACATATAGAAATGATAACTTATTGCCCTGCTATTATCAAAAACAAGGTTTCCATCAACAACACATTTTTATTGCTTAAATAGAAGTATTTATATGAGGAAAAGTTTACAATGAACAGTATATTTACACAAATAAAGGTCAAAAACGAACTTCATATTTTCGGATTATACCATCTCTAGATCCAGTAAAAATAGAATTACCATTATATGCCATGCAATAAACTGGATCAAAACCAGGTCCTGTAAGCTGTACACATTGATCCTTGTCAAAAGCAGTGAAAATACATGAACCATCAGCTATAAAAAAAATTTACAGCTTTTATATTATAATTTACGTAGTTGTTAAGTCAACTAAATTTACAACTGAAATAAAAGTTTGTATTTTAACTTTGTCTTAATATTAAATGTTTTAATCATTTACTAGTTTATTTTAATTATGATGGTCTAAATATGTTAATGAATTAGGAACAGTAATACATATCAATGGACAAACTTCATTAGCTTAAAAATTTTAACTTTTTGGAACATAACCTATTAATTTATGAAGCCAATGACGTTATTCAATTGACAAGTAACACGTCAAGTCAGCAAGGAAGCCTCTGCAATATCATCGTTCCCTGTCCTGCTCAATTCCCAGATTTGTTACTGAACTAGCACATCTAGGACCACTTGGTAAATCAAGTTGGACAGCCTCCGAATTAAGTCTACTTAGAGGTATTTTTACAGCAACTATGGAACAAGATACCGCAGGACATCATAAACGGCTTGAATGCCTTAGTGTCTGACCATATTATATTGCATCTTGTGCTAGAGGTGGAAGGAGACATTAAATGTTAATTCCATGTAAAAAAAAATAGTTTATTTAATAGGGAATTTTTGACCCATGATCTGAGGATATTTAACATCAGCACTATGCTCAATGCCAACCAGCAGAAAAATTTGTATTGACCAAATATTACCAGGATTCGAATCCACATCTCCTCATTGGCGCTCTATCCCCTAAGCCACAGCGACACTTATTAATTAACGTATTTGAGGTCACTATTTTTAACTACTTACTTTGTAAAACTCGGAGCATTAGAATAAAAGTTATTTAGGATAATATCTTTTTTTTATTTTGCACATTAAAAATCTCTTTTAGAAATGGGTTATTTAGACAATTTCCTAAATATTAAAAATGACTTCTTGAACTTGGTGCCTTAATTTATTCTAAAATTAAAAAGAAGAAGAAAAATAGGCAATCAATAATTTTTGTAAACTCAATGGCCACCGAGAAAACTTTTAAGTCTTTGCACGGAAACAGACTGCTAGAAAAGTTTTAACAGATATTTGTATCACAGAAAAGATACTGAAAATGAGTACATTAACATTTAATTAGATACAAGAAAATCAATAAAGGATTTCAAAACAGACAATGATGGATCTATCAGAATTATTAATAGCTCTCAGCTTCAATCATTAAAATAATAAAGAATCAGAGAAAAGAATATGTTAATCAAAATACTTGAACAAAATTAAATAACACATTGTATCATCTCAAAGTTTGAAAACTCAAATCATCAATAAATACCAAGGTGAAAGAAGAAGAAAAAAAGACTGAAATCAGAAATATAGGAATAAATATAACTTGTGATGCCATACAAAAACTACTAACTTAAAGAAAATCAATTAAAATTCTTTGCTTAAAAAAGGCATATGATAGCTACCTTTAAAGGCCTGGTTTCTTAGGAAACGTCGGCGTCAGCTTGAAACGAACGTTTACATCTGATTGGTCAATTTATGAGTTTGACAGCATATGTCATTGAACGCTCAGCTTGAACAACAACTGCAGTTAGATTACAATGTGACGTTATAATGTGTTTCTTCTTGGACAAAGTTATTATTTGTTCTCTAAAGTACTGGTCGATAATCACAAAATCAATACAAATTCAAAATAAATATTTGTTTACGTTATTAACGCATGCGTAATGCGAGATAATGTCTGTGTTGGGCCAACTGCTCACGCTGAGCTAACAAAACGGTATTTTTATGGCGTCAAAATTATATCAACTTAACGCTGATGCCCAGTTAAGATGCTTCTCCTAAGAAACCAGGCCTTGAGCTTACAAACCAGTATTTTGTTGGCGTCAGGGTAACGTCAACTTAACGCTGACGCCCAGATAAGGCGCTTGTCCTAAGAAACCAGGCCTTAAGAGATAACTCTTATTGAACAATAAGAAATAGTTCAATAACATCCTGCACACAAGTATTGTGGTAATTACAATCTTATATAGAGATATTATTTTGATAAGTAAGTATAACATAAAATCATAATGGTCTGATACCATTTTCCATTGTTAATTAGGACAATGAAGCGCCCAGATAAGGCGCTTGTCCTAAGAAACCAGGCCTTAAGAGATAACTCTTATTGAACAATAAGAAATAGTTCAATAACATCCTGCACACAAGTATTGTGGTAATTACAATCTTATATAGAGATATTAATTTGATAAGTAAGTATAACATAAAATCATAATGGTCTGATACCATTTTCCATTGTTAATTAGGACAATGAAGCGCCCAGATAAGGCGCTTGTCCTAAGAAACCAGGCCTTAAGAGATAACTCTTATTGAACAATAAGAAATAGTTCAATAACATCCTGCACACAAGTATTGTGGTAATTACAATCTTATATAGAGATATTAATTTGATAAGTAAGTATAACATAAAATCATAATGGTCTGATACCATTTTCCATTGTTAATTAGGACAATGAAGCGCCCAGATANTTCATGGTGTTGCATTTTCTACAAACAGCAGTTTAAAATCATAATGGTCTGATACCATTTTCCATTGTTGCCGGCACATTTTTATTGGCCGTAAAATCAAGCGGTAGGATCCAGTTTTCCTCCATTCATTTCCATATTGTTTAGGTTGTCATCAGCATAAAATTAACAAAAGTTGTAAAGGTATTGAATATTTTGATATCCTTAATTTAAAGTTATTAAGTACTGCTATTATTAGCGAAAATTTTAAATTATGGTTGAGAACTCATCAAATTTGTTTGAACAATATAATGTATCAAGAATATAAATGTTATTTAAAAAAAATGATAATTAAAAAAATCACTTCTTTTCACCAAGAGATATAAATGTTTATAATACTAATAGATAGTAATATTTGGATGTGGGAAGTAGAGGCGTAAGAGCGTAAGTAAACAGAATTCCTTTTAATACATTGATGTTAAGTGAATATTTTTAACTTTAGTAGAAAAGCTGTTTTCTGCCAAGAAAAAACAATTATTGCGAAGCAATCATTGGGGTTGGTGAGTGGTAGCGAACAGGGGGCTTTGCCCCCTAGTACTTATATAAAAAAAATGACAAAGCTGACAAAAAAAAGTGTACTAAATAAAACTTGCAGTTTGCAAAGTTTGTGTACAGAAACTAAAATAAGGAGGGATGAAAGAATGTTTACTTGGTACTAGTCAAGATAGTTGGATCACTTTCTACCAGAATTATTCTGCATTTATCCATTGACAAAAATTATTCTATTAGAAGATCAGATCAACCAGTGAATAGAATTGATAGAACTTACCTCTTCCGCAAAATATTCCATTTTTGACATGGATTATGCATAGCACAGGAGAAGTTGATTCCTCCCAAATAGTAACTGGTAACCTTAAAAAAATTGAATTTAATTATCTTTTGTTATTTATACCAAATATTTGCATTTCTAAAAAAAATATCCTTAAAGTTCACTCTACCTAGCTCGTAAATCAAAGAGACATATTTTTCCATCTTGAGTTCCAAATACAACTGAAGTGGAGGATATAAAACAGCAACAATTTACAGCTGAACTACTTTGATGTTGAAATACCTGAAAGTAATTTTTTAAAACAATATTCAGAAATATAAAAATGCTGCATATTTTTATCTCTTTAAGTCGAAAAAATCATTATATCTAAAATTATAAGAATGAAAAAAGGTTGTAAATTGTAATTATGATTCTCAACCTTTTTTCATTCATTCAAGGCATAAAAATGTAAATGCGCCAACTAAAATTAATTTAAAACCAGTGTATTTAAAAAAAAGATTTTTTTTTAATTATTCGATTGATTTCAAGTATTAAATACTTTTGAATGCTTAATTAATGCAAATATTTAAGTTTTTGTATAATTGTAACAAAACTTATTGATACACAGAAAAGATAGCTGTAGCAGAACAAACAAAATTGATCCACTGTTTTCTTTATTTCTGCAGTAGTTAAAAGATTTTACAAATATTGCACAAAGAATTAAAATATTTATTAATTAGTAATAGATAACATTAAAAACATTTGGCATAATTATTATCATTAGTAGCTTTAAAGCTCTAAAATTAATGCTACACTATTTCAATACATATGCAAGAAAAAAAATCACAAGACTATGGCACGAGTGTAAGAATTGAATGTAAGTTTTAATGGCGCAAGGTCCAGAGAGGACAAGCTGCGTGGCACGAGTGTAAGATAAAATCAATTTTTTATGCAGATTTTAAGACATTGAATATGATTTTTTAGGCCAAATAAACAGTTCCGATGTTATGCACAAAGAAATGGATTCAAAACAGAAAGGAAAAGGTTAAAACTAAAGTTATGTAGGCATCATGTACTTCTGTACCCAATGGCTCATGTACTTCTTGTTTTTTCTTTCTTTTGTAGTTTTTTTTTTAATCTGTTTGATTTAATTTAGATAATTAAGAATGTTTTTTCAATGAAAATTTCTTCAATTACTTTGCAATTCAGATAATTTCTACAAATGTTCATGTTTACATCATGCAAAACATATTTTTCAATATCATTAAAAATTGCATTGGCTGTTGTGAAAAAAAAAATCAAACTAATGTAAAAAAATATAAGTTTAAAAACATAAAAGACATAAGTTTTAGACTTTTGTCTAAAAACAATTACTACAAAAATAAAGATATTTTTTTTAAATGATAAGCAAAAAGTAGCATCCATTGTCGGTTTTGAACTGGTGATTATTGAATGAAAGAACATGTCTTACCTATTTCTACATTATGATAGCTGCATTTTTTTTCTCTTTGTAATACACAGGGTATCAGCTACATTTTAAATTTTCAAATTCATGACTTTTCCATGACTAATTCCAAGAAATTTTCATGACTTAACGAAGTTATTATTTTCTCCAACAAAAACACAACAATAAATTTAAAAAAGCATAATGACATTAATTGAAATAATAGGTATAAACAAAACTGTTATACTCTGCATCTTCATGTTAATAGATTTTAAATTTAAAAAAATACGAGTAAAGAAAGAGTTGAAGCAATAAAATAGCTGGAAAAAAATCCAAAAGCTAATAATTATTTATTTTTTCTGCAAAATTATATTCTAAAGATATTTTTTTTCGTTCATCGGAAAGAAAAGAAATACTCCTGATCTTTCCTTTCCGAATAAAAAAAAATTGGCCAATAACTGGCTTGCTTCAGCTAGAATTTTAAATTTATGAAATAAATAAATAATTATAATAATTCTGAAATCACAGAAGTTTAAAAGATAATTTGCTCTAGAAAGGTTTTTCTTTCATTTTTTGAAAGAACACCATAATTTTAAAGAACTTAATAAAAACATTTTATATTGTAATAAAATATGACTATGAGTGGGGATTTCATTACAAAATCAGAACACCAAAAAATTGGTATTCCATTTTAAAAATAAAATTTTTCGGTGATGAATTTCCACGATTTTGTTAAAAATATAGTTAAAATCGTGACATTTCATGACAAATTTTGCTCAATATCGAAACTTATGACTTTCCAGGTGCACGGATACCCTGAATACAGCATAAAGCTTTTTTTGGAAATAATTTAGGAACCGTTCATAATACATTCATTTTGACATCCCTTTAATACCAATAAACGTTTGTTTGTTTTTTTTAAATATAAAATACAGAGTGTTTCTCTTTGTATCTTTTGATTTTTATATAAATGAGATATTTATTGCAAGATAAGCTTGCAGTTGATAGAAGAATTTAATTATTAAAACTTCATTTAATTGATATTAAGGATTTTTATTTTTTGATTTAATAAACAATTACTTTAAATAATTGTGTCATTTGTGTGAATAATTTACCTGTTTATGACTTTGCAGACCAACCCCTTTTAAAAGACCATTTTCACATCCAAGTAACAAAAGCTTTCCTTCAGTAGCAACTTCTCTTTCATCTACGCTAAATAAAATATATTCAAAATAAAACTGCAGTGGAATGCTACACTGTTTAGTATAATGCGGTGCACTAAAGTCATTGGACAAAAGAAATACAGTTCATCGTAGAGAAATTGATGAGAAAATTTTGCTATATGTATTTAAAATTTATTATAAAGTAAATATTTTATCAATAATTTAAAATTTTACTCAGAATTTTTAGTTTAGTGAAAATCTTTTATTAAAATAATAGCAAACTACGAGACAATTCATATTATTTTTTAAAGAATTAATGAACTATTGACAACATCAAAAAAACATGTTTTTAAAAATAAAATAAAAAAACAGATTAAGATTTGTTGTAAGGAATAGTTAAACTTGAAGATCTAAGTAAAAAATTCACATTTTAAAATAAACACTTTTTTTTAAGTTTAAAAGAACAAAAACAGCACAATAACAAGAACAGATTGATGCTGAAAATGTTGGAGTGTATTAAGAAACATAACATTGAAAAAAGCTTCAGTACATCACAGATGTAATACAGTTGATTAAAAAAGAATTAATAAGCAAATTTAGTAAAATTTTTGTTAGCAAAATAATTACATCAATAGTAAAAAATTTTTTTAACTTCATTCATAATTATTAGTTTATTCAATTGCAATGAAAGAAAGTGTTATGAAACTTAATGTTTAAACTAAGGTTTAAGGCTTAATTAAATTAAACATGTTTTTGAAAACTCATGTTCCAAAATTAAGAATTGGAACATGATTTGATTTTTTAAAAATTTCTTTTAAAATTTTATCAGCTGAAACCATGAAGCAAAAACTGTCTTTCTGGAACAAAGTAATAATAGATGTACTTTTTTTTTCGATTATAAAACATAATTTAAAAGAAAACCAAGCATCTTTTAAGTACTTTGTAAGCACTCAAAAAAATATTTTTAGTCACTTTACGAAAAAAAAAAAAATTTCATAGTTAGTAGTGCAGTAATAAAAAAAAAATTTTTTTCGATCATTACAAGTTTTACCCATAATATAAACATAAAACCAATAAAATTCAAAGTCATTTTCAAAAACTTAACATAATCATTATAAAATAACTAGTTTCTGATAAATATTGCAGAGAAAATTATGAAAATCATGAATTTTTTGTAATTTAGAACGACAATTTGTCACAGCAAAGAAAAAAATCTCTTTTTAAAAGATAGAAAATTAAGCTCTTTTTACAAGCCCTAAATAATAGAAGCACTTTTTAAAAATGCTACGCACCCTGTTATTTAAATCAACAGAAATGATTTATTAATTAAACAAGTGTCATCTTAACATAATATATTTTAACTTCTTAGACAAAATACAATATTGAATTAAATAATTTAATTATAAAAAAATATTAATGAAAACGGGAATAGCAACAAATTAACTCACTTGGAGGATGGTCTGAAGTGCCAACATCAATGTCAACTGGAGCAACTGAACAACAATTTATGTTACCATTACCCTCAGAAACAATATGCAAACAAGACGACTTTCCGCAATCCCATAAACGAGCTGTGCCATCTTTGGATACAGAGACAACATTTCTTCCTTTTTCTACAATCGATGTACCGGTGATTGCTGAAAAATTAAAATACGAATTCATCAAGAAAGACATTTTCACTCTATTTTTTATCTAAATTTCCCTGACTCTTCCAGGTAGGAATGCAAGAATTTACCACTCCCCTGAAGCCGGAGTGGTAAATTTCACCGTGCTCCAGGGCTTTTTTAGTTTCTTAACAGTCTTGTAAGTTTTTCAGGCTTAAAATCAAAGATTTTTGTACTTTTACTTTGTGGATGATTCTACAAATACAGACAATTTGTGTTTGGCTGATATGTTTTATTTAATTTTGTTTTAAATTGGGCTATGCAGTATTTATTTTTATTCTGAAATTTAATAATTATGACATACTAATAATTCTTAAATTCATTTTTATAATTAAAATACAATGTTCTTTTAAAATAAAATAATCAAGTTCATTTATAATATAGCAAAATTGTTGGAGCTTTAGTAAAGCTGGGGCCGTAGCTTATCTAGGAGAGGAGCTGAGTATCAAAAATATTTCATCTGTAGGGCCTGAATTCAGGTTTTCCAGAAAAGGTTTTACCAATTTCCTGATTATAACTATACAGATGCTATACAGAAATATTTCATCAGAAAAATATTTTTTTTATCAATAAACCTTACAACTGCCTTTTTGATAGAAAATATGTCAAATATTACATATTGTAAAGAATAAATTTTCACAAAGTGAAAATTTAATTAGTACATTTCATAATACATAAATATATAAATTATAGGTAATAGCAATGTTTAGAATGAAAACCAGAAAAAAATTGGAGCTAATCTTTAAAAACATAGTATTATTGCATAGTAAATATAGTTATTTAAGAATAGTTACAATTTAATAGACAAAATTTAAGAAAAACTTGAAATAAAGAATTATTAGGTAAGGAGGTTTTCACAAAGGAGAAATTAATATTCTTATTTAATAAACCTAAAAAAAATTTTATGTTGCAGCAGAATTCGTACAAGAAATAATTATTTTTTCTTCTTCTAATATATAATTATTTTTTCTTTGAAATTTATTGCATTGCAATTTCTAACTTCAGAAACAATTAAAAACTTGAGTGCTAATTTATTAACATATTTTCACCAATTGTATTATAAAAATTTATCACTTTAAAGAACTAATTTAATTATTCATTTTCAAAATAATTTCTGACTATGCCAAAAACGTCATAAAACAGTTGAAAATAATAAAAACAAAATACAAGTAACAACAAATTAATTTAATTATGTGTTGAATGTTAAAAAATATTTCTCGTGTGTTATAAAAATTCTTAAAATATATGATTTATAACTTATTAAAATTTTTATAGCTAAAATAAAATTTAATTTCTTTACCAGTTGTCGAATTGATATTTTTAAATTAAATTTTGGCAATAACTTTTTGTTACAATGGTGAATAAATTAAAATATTTTTAAATATTTAATTAAGTTGCGCTCGTCCTGAAAAAGCAAACAAACATTTACACAGCTGCCGTAAACAAAACAAAAAAATCCTACTATTCTTTTTTGAATCCTACTATGTTACTAATATCAAACTAAAGAAAAAAAAACTCACCAATATACATTACAAGATAATGAACAAAAATGATAATAATAAGGAAGAGTTTCGAGCTTAGTTAGCTTTCTATAAGATTCAATTGCTTAAAAAAAAAATCAAATTTGAATATTTTTTATTTTTTAAATTATTTGTTACAATCATATTCATAAAAAAAGCAAATATATGATTGTAGAATACAAACATGATTTTAGTTAGTATTTGAATGGATGCAGTTTAAAAATTAGATTCTAAAAATGCCTAATAAGCAAATATTATAGCAATAGTAAATTTTATTAATGTTTTACAATTGCTAAAAATAAACGTACAACAATTTATCTCTCTTAATTTAAAGGCATTTCGATCTTAGCAAAATGTTAACAAAATGAAAACATGCACAAGCCCTTTTTAGTCTTTTAACCGCGCCATCACATCCAGAAAGTTAATATAGCCAGAAATGACCGATTCCTTGGCCATGTTCATGGTAGAGTTTTAAGCATCATCTGGAATCAGACATTTCCAAATTCACTTTCTAGATAGAATTCTTATCCCTATCCCAGAAAGCTAATAGTACTGCTCTAAATCAATGATTGTTCAAGTCAGGGAATCATTCCCTGTTCCTTCCCCCAAAAAGTCATGGGGTTATTCCCAGGATTTGAACAGGGTCAGAGAACTAACTTCTTTTTCCCAAACTCGAATTCTCTGCTAATTCCAGGTTTCCCTGACTTCGTATTTATAACTGTATAATAAAAGTCAATTCAGAAATCAAGCATAAAAATTTACCAGCAGTGTGTCCTTTCAGTGTGACAGGACAATCTCCTGTGTCTGCAGCCCATATTTTGATCTGCATATCTGCTCCAGCAGATAAAATCACTATACCAGACGGGAAGAATCGGCAAGAATAGATGTCCCATATGTGTCCCTCTAAATTTCTCTAAAAAAGACATTTAGATTATTGTCACATAACTGGATTTCTAGCCTTATAGAAATTAATTTTGCATTTTAGATCAATAGATATAAGAAAATAACAAAATAATTTTTTAAAAATTGTGTTAACAAGTGCGAAATTTTATAAAGAAAATATTTTTTAGGCACAAGAAGGATTCGCAATCTTAAAACTATATTTCCAAGATTTTATGGGCTTCCCAAGGCTCTTTTTTTTCCAATTTTTAAAATGCTATATTCAAATCAAGACATCATAAATTTTAAATTGAATAATAAATTTTCTAAACCTACATTAAGTTATACAGTTCAGATAGGCAACAGAAAAGTTTAAAAAAAAAAAAAACGATGCATAAAAAGTTAAATAAAAGAGAAACAGCATAAGAATTTCTGAAAAATACTGTAATATTAACTGAATTTTTTTTATTAAACACAAATCTTTAATTTAGCAAAATTTCGTTCTTTTAACAATTTTGTTATTAAAAATGCAACAAGGAAATAAAGATGGTTTCAGTAAATTCAAAACTGCAAACAACATTTTAACATTAAAACATGTAACAAAGCATTAAAACTCAAAAAAAATAAATAAATAAAAATCTATAAGCTCAAATTTTGAATGTTTAGTCTACTTCAAATAACTTTAAAATAGTGCAATTACTAACAGCTTAGTTCTAGACTGACAGCTTAACTTTTGATTAGACGAGACCTGATTTAAATAAGATTACATAAAATAATATTTTAAAGCACCATTTGCATACATATTAAAATGTTTCTGAGTAACTTTACAAATTTTTTTTCAATAAAAATGTTAATATTTCTTTATTACTTATACAGTAAAATGGGCAAAATTTACAAAAAATATTTAAAATTTTTAATTAAAGATAATTAGAGTGCCCATAGGCCAAAAGTAGTCCTCAAAGCCTTTTAACTTGGCCTCTAATCTACCTTGATTATTTCATATAATATTGATAAAAATATGTAGCAGAAAAGTCTTGTTATTATTGCTTTATACAAGTTACTTATTTTATTTAGCCGTTTTCAAGAGTATCAAATTGCAACAATTTCATTTTGTAAGTGTTATATAAAGCAATTGGTTCAGTGTTATACAAGTTACTTATTTTATTTAGCCTTTTTTTAAGAGTATCAAATTGTAACGATTTCATTTTGTAAGTGTTATATAAAGTAATTGGTTCAGTGTTTGCAGTTAAATTTTTTCTCACAAATTTATATAAAATAAATTTGGAAAAAAAAAGGTAATTTTCAAAATCAAAGAAACAAGTAATTTCAAAAAATTTATAATAACCGTCAGATAAATTTGATACTTTTTTAGTAACAATAACAATTTTATTTTCTGAACATATTAAAGTATAACTTTTGAGGTAAATGGAAACTTTCATGTTTCTCTTCTCTAATACAAATTTTTGATGATAATTAGCTTAGAAATCTTGTAACTATATTTAAATTTATTTTGAATAAATATTTCCATTTGTTTATTTTGATTAAAAATTTAGTTACACATGTGTAAGTTATTATGAACAGAATCTAAACAGATCCTGCATTTTTACAATTGCAACTTTGCATGTTGCACAATGTATTTTCCAGTTTTTATAGCACATTAGCTAAAAATGATTGGGCATCTTTGTTATTAGGTACACCATTTTTTGCTGTTATTAATCATAGTTTTTTCAGAAAACTATGAAGAAGATATTTTCTCATAATTTTGTGACGTCCAGTATTTCATATAAAAGTTTAAATACATTTAAAAAATAATAATTTAGATTTTTTATTGGTCATTTTTAGCAGCTATAAAATGTATACAAATATAAAAAATAGTAAGTGTGTGGGGCGAATTGTTATCAACAATGTCAACTCTCATCTATGAAAAGGTACCCCACCATAGAATCTAGTTAACATGTCTTATACACTGAGTGGCCAAAATATTATGACCACCTCAGAGTTTAATGCAAATGAGTTATTGCGTCACAGCGTTGCTGCTAGAGTTCAAGATAACCATAATAGGGGAATGCTGGACAAGTGAGTCATCAGTTATACTGTGTTGCTTGCTCAGATATGGGAAAGAAAAGTGATTTAACTGAATTTCAATGTGGAATGATTGTGGGTGCGAGATGTGTCGGAACGAGCATCAGCAAAACGGCTGCACTTGTGAAGTGTTCTAGAGCAGCAGTTGTTAATGTGTACAAAGAATGGACAATCCAGCAAAAAACCGGATCTCAACGGCAGACTTGTGGTCATCACAGGGTACTGAATGTTCATTCAGAGAGAAGGCTGGCCAGGGTTGTGCAGCACAGTGCGACAAATTGCAAGTGATCTTAATCAAGGAACAACTGTGAACGTACTGTTCGACGCACATTGCGACGTATAGGGTATGGAAGCAGACGACTGAAGGGGTGGTCATAATAATTTGGCCACTCAGTGTATACTAGTGAATTGGAATTATATTGTTGTAGAGGTAGAAACGCTACAGTATACCCTCACCAGAATTATATCTGTGATAGAATTCGATGAATGGATACCACTAGTTGATTCATTGCTGTTTTTGTGCGAAGCCGGGAGAGCTGTATTAAGATCACCATACTTATGCTGATCGTGAGAGCTGTATTAAAGTTGTGGTCGCTCCTGTGTTGCCTTTAGCAGTCGAGTATATGCCGGCCAACGTTGTGTTTAATCGAGACTGAGTAGCAACGGCAGGAGAAGGTGGATAATGTCGTGGTCACAAGTCAACTGTTCAATGTGGACCATCCATCGAAGTGGGCGTTACTGCCAAGGTAGTCGTGTTTGTATCGAAATAGGAGTTTCGGTCAAGGTAGGCATGTTTACATCACGTCCGGGTCACCAATGTGGGGAGTGAGTTGTTACAGACAATGTGAACCTTCATCTATGAAAAGGTACCCCACCATAGAATCGAGTTTTACATGTCTTATATACTAGTGGATTGGAATTATATTTTTGTATTGGTAGAAACGCTACAAGTGCAGTGTTTTCACTACAGCGCGAGAACCTCGCATATTTTTTTCTTTTCTCGCATAAAAAAATGATTACTGCGAGAAATTCGAGCATTCTACAATTCAATTTCAAAATTCGCGAATTTCTCGCATTTTGGAAAAAGCTTCGAATTACGCCCTTTAGAATAAAATCTGTTTCACTTTTCTTCCTGGATCTTTCATTATTTTTAACATCTGCCCCGTTATCTAGCTTCCCTAATTACCAGTATTGTTCAGAACCTTTTCGAACAACAGAACACAACCACGGAACCCCTTTCAAAACACATTTCTCTGCAACCACGTGTTTACCGTAGGTAAGGTTTCTTCATGTAAGACGTTCAAATTTTTTATGTGCTAATGTAATGTAATGTAAGATGGACAAATGCCTTGTAAAGGCAAAATCTTCTATGATGATGCACCAAAAATATTCAATGCTTTAAAAAATAGAAGACGTTAAAAATGTATTANACACCAAGTTCCTCAGTAACATCAATACCTAGAACCTGTTAAATAGTGAAACAAATTATTATATATGGTGCATAGCGTTTTTAAAAAGTGCTTAAAGGTGCTTTTTTTCAATTTTGGTTTTTAAAAATCCTTAAAGGGGCTTTATCATTGACTGTTTTTAAAAAGCGCTTGAATTTTCCTTTTCGAAAATTATATTTTTTTCTTCAACATGTCGATTTTCGCCGCATGTTATGCAAAAGCGTGCTTTTCACATTGCTCTATGCAACGTTTTCACAATTCATTGAACCACAACAGTGTTTTCACTACAGCGCGAGAATTTCTAATATTTTTTTTTACTTTCTCGCAATAAAAAATGATTAACGTGAGAAGTTTGCGCACTCTATCAATGAATTTCAAAATGCGCGAATTTTGGAAAAAATTTCGTCTTTTGCCATTTATAATAAAATTTGTTTCACTTTCCTTCCTTGATCTTTCATTATTTTGAACATTGGACCTTGTTATCTAGTTTTTGAGAAAGGGTGAGAAATTCTCACCCATTTTTTTTCCATGATGAAAACACTGAAGTGCAATATAAAACTTACATTTTACATACTGAAAGTTTAAACAATGAACTTTTAAGGCAAACATATAAAAATATATTAAGCGTTAGTGCACTCACATGTGCACTCAGAACCGGTGCAAACAGCAGAATACCACCCCCTCGAACCACGGAACCTCTTTCAGAACACATTTCTCTGCAACCGTAGATAAGGTTTCCTCATGTAAAATGTTTACATTTTTTGTGCATGAATGTAAGATGGACAAATACCTTGTTAAGGTGACATCTTCTACTCCGTAACGGACAAATGAAAATGAAACAAATGTCGGTAGAAATGGTCAAAATTAAACAAATACGGACATTTTTCAGCCAAATAAGTGTAATAGCTGATGAAAAAAGTAGATATAGAACATTTTCCATATGATGATGTAGCAAAAATATTCAATTAGAAGATGTTAAAAATGTATTATAATTAAAGAAATAATTTTTTTCGAAGTCTATTCGTGTTTTTTTAATTTTTAGAAATCTCACTTAACTTTGTTAAATCTCACCCTGTTTTTGAGAAAGAGTGAGAAATTCCAGGGGTGATTGTGAGCCCAAGTCAAAATTCCGGAAAATTGAGTTAAAAATTTTTTAAAAAAAAGACAGTTTAAATTCAAAAATTAGAAAAAAATTTAAACAAGGATTTTTTTCCTTTTTCTCAATATTTCTTAGTTTACTTAAAATATATTTAAAATTTTACACATACCTATACCATTTACACATATCTATGATGACCTGGAGAAGTAATTAAAATTTGCAAATATGTCTTTCTTTCTTGAGTTTATGATTATAACTATTTACTGATAAAAAATTAATGTTAATCGTGAATATAAGCTTATAAAGTATCTCTCTGGCTCTCCCTTACAAACAAATAAAATAAACTGTGTTTTTAAGTTCCACCTTTGAAAACTTGATTTCCGGAAACTTCTGTGACCCATGATTTTTTTAAACATCTGGACCTTCGATCTCCGGAAACTTCCGGATCACTGTTAGCGAAAATTCCGGAAATCCGGATTTTTTCCAGAGCACAATCAGCCCTGAAATTTTCTCCCATTTTTTTCTGTAATGAAAACACTGCACAATATATTTTGTTGTACCGTCGGTCCATAGCGTATGAAAGCGCCAATCATTTTACATGCTGGATGAAATATTTGCGAGTTCACGTGTGCGTCTACTGAGCTGGGTTCGGTGAGATTATTGCACTCTCATGTTCAACTCTGCTGCATTTTTCAAGATATTCTCAATTTCAGGCTTCACTTTTCACCCTCTGATATCGAATTGAAAAATCTCTTGAGCATTTTAAATGGCTAATATAATCAAGAAAATAGATCTTTGTCAGAAACTAGTTATCTTATCATAATCATGTAAAGTCTTTGAAAATTATTTTGCATTTTGTTTATGTATATAATGCTTAAAAATCTTTGTTGAGTGCTTAAAAAGTACTTATTTTTTGTTGAAAGATTTGGCTACGCACCCTTTTATAGATAAAATAGTTTTAAGAAATTTAATTTATAACACCAATGAATATAAGAGGTGTACTAAAATGTATTAATACTTAAGCAAAAAAACCTTTCGAACAATTTTATCCAGCACTTTTCTAATTAAACTAATATAACAATAAATAAAGCTTTCTTAAACTAATTAATAGTATCAAATTTCTACAACTAATGTTATTGAATACAGAGCTGAGATTTCTTTTAAAAAAAACGTATTTGATCCAGGAAACTAAAAATGGCTAATAATATGATTGATTAAATACACATATGAAAATTTTTAGTTTTATTTCATAAATTATACTAAATTAATAATTTTATGATCATGTAAAAATAAAAGTCATATTAAAAGCATCTATTTAGAAATACCTTTAGCATATGATCTTAAATTTATTTTGAGTTTTCATCGTAAAAGTATTTGATTATTGATTATGAAAATTGGTATGCAATTAATTGATAACTGCAAAAACAATATTTGATTATTACTTACCATTATAATTAGTATGTAATCCATTAATTTAGCTGTATTTAATAAATTTGATAATGATACTTTAACAGTTCTTAATTATGAAATTAGGTACAAATATACACCTTTATATGCAACATCAAAATTAACTACATGCGTTATAATTTTTAAAGAAATTCATTAAATAAATTTTTCTTTTCAAATGCTGCTTTTTAGTTTTTAACTATTGATTTGATTTACTTATTAAACTATGCATTAAATGACTTTTATGTATTTATATTGTTTTAAAGTGTCTACTTGAGACAAATACAACTAAGTTTTATCATCATATGGAGCTGTACAACGAGTTTGCAGAACTTTTTATGCTTAAATATGACATTTACACATAATGGATGGGCCACATAAATTAATGTTGTTCAATTGTCTGTTCTTAAGACTGGTCACATAGATTTACATTTTCCCACTCTCACATTCTAAGATAGGCCACATAAAATTAGGTTTTTGCATGAATTTTTTTTTTTTTTTGTATGCTGTATTAGTTTTTCATTTTATGCACAGAATGTTATTTCTCTTGGTACACATTAATTATACAGTACAGAACCCGTTATATGGAAATCAGTAAACCGGAAAACCAAAAAACCGGAACGAAATTCGATAAATTTTCCTGCCATTTTTTTTTTAAAAAAAATGCTTTTTTCCTCATAAGACTTTGGGATTTTTCTTTCTTTCTTGAAAGATGTTTACCTTACCATCATTTTGGAAACAATCATTAGTGTCATATATTTTTTTTTTAGTTCGGTTTAACAATAAAAAAAACGCCTTTTTGCAGCGATTCAAACCGGAAAAATCAGTTATCCGGAATAGCGATGGTCCCGATCGTTCCGGATAATCGGTTCCCTACTGTAGTACTAATAGGATTTTTAAGATTTAGTAAATTTTTTTAACTCAACTGTGATTCTGCACATAGAGGAATGTAGTTTTTTTTCCACCCATATAGAAGAAGAGCCTCTAATTTATTTTTATGTTAAATCACCAACCTATCAAGAATTAGATAGGAAAAAAATGGCTCTTCATAACACAGTTTTCAGATTGGAGAAGGGGAAAATGAAACATTTGTGTCAACATTTGGAAGCAGTAAAAATAAAAATGTAAAGGAAATACATATATTTGTAAAAAATAAAAAACCTTAAAAATGTTTTTGTAATGCTCTAGAAAATGCTTTTAGTAACCCAAAAAATGTCCAATAATCAAGAAGGGCTGAGCAGATTTGACCTGCCCATTCTTTAAATGTTAAAAATGAATGCATTTGTAAGTTATTCAAAAGACGGTCATTTTAAAAGTTAATAAAATAGAACAAGTGGCTTTACATTTGTTAGCTCCTTTTGTAATAAAAGTTATTCAAGAGAATATAAACTGAATATGGATCAAACCTAGAAATTGAAGCGAAAAAGAAATTTAATGCAGTGAGACAAATACATTAAAATTAGGAAAATGCACTTTTAAATAAAAAGGCTTCAAAAAGAAAAATCATTTATTTTATTTATTAATGAGGAAGATCAGTTAGAATGAAAATTTTGGTACAAATTTGTCTAAAGAATTCAACTGTTAAAATGTTTAGCCTCAAAATTTTACTTTTCCACAAAAGAAACAACAGTATTGAAAAATGTATAACTTACTAATTACCTTTAATCAAATTGAATAATTTTAAAAATGAGAAATGAGCTTAAAGAACAAACAAATATGATGAAATCTTTGGAATATAAAGTGTGAACAACCATTACCTGAGAACTAAGTGATAAAAAAAAATTTATAAAAAAACTTCCTGAGTTAATTTTCAGCAAATCGTGAGATTTTAAAGAAGCAAAGGTATATATATGTATACAATACAAAGTACCATACACAGACTCCTGTTTTCTGGAAGCATCCATTTAAATTAACAGGCTCTTTTCTAAAAATAAAAATTTTAATGTTTGCTTTATGTTTTAAAAATTTGGGCATTGTGCGCAAGAAATATATTTTTCCAGACAATAGGTCTTCAAGTTATCGACTTATCAGGTAAAATCAATTTTATGGACTTGCCGAAGTTCCTGTGATTCTAAATATGAAAGTTTCTACTGTATATATATATATATTTAGAATATTTATATTCTTATGAACAATATTTGATGAATTCTTATAAAAACCAAGATTTTGTTCAAGAAGAACATTTCCAAGAGGAAGACAAATAATGTAATTTATAACCTGAATCATACAAAACAATTTAAAAATAGATTTTATTGTTTTAGAAGAATGCTTTGAAATTCCCCACAGGAAGTTTGAATTTTTTTTTTAAATTCTGAGTTTAAAAAAATTTGTAAAAAGAAGTTTTCATTTTAAGAACAAAATTCATATTTAAAAGAAAAATATTTCACATAACCATGAAATTGTAGTTTCAAATTGAGTAAGACTAATGAAAAATTAACAATGAAAAGTTAATTATTGAAGAATAACAAAAATTGACAAAAAAGGAAATTGAAAATTAACAAAGTCAATTTAACCATTTAATGACTAATGACTGCATATGGGACTTATAGACTTTTATTATTTAAAGAAATATTTGTTTGTATAAACTATGTACCTTTAGATTAAATGTGGCAGAAAATTTATAATTAAGCAGATTACTCAAAGTAATGCACCTAAAATTTGTAAAAAATGTATATAATAAATTTAACAAATTAGACCTCAAAGTTTTGAAATGTTCAAGTGCAAAACACCCAATATGAAGAAAAAAATACATATACAGTGTAACGTCCCATATCCGGACGTCCCTTTTCCGGAAGGGTCAATTTCCAGGACACTTTTTAACAATCAAAATAAACAAACATTTCTTCATCTTCCCCACTCTTTAAAAAAAAAAAAGTATTTTGACAGGTTTTTTCCTTTCTTAGCTTCTAGTGATCTATGCATTAAACCCATAAATCAACAGAAAAGAGAACAGAAGATCTACCAAGACCGTACCGTTAGTAACGCTCCTCCTCTGGAATGCAGGAAAAGGGGGGGGGAGATTTGTTTTCAAAAGAGCACAATTGAGTCCCCTCCCCCCTTCTTTCCTGTGCAGCTGGCTAGTAAAAGAGGCATTTCCTGGAACCTTTTTGATAAAGTGTTAGGGAAAGAAGTACTGTGAAAAAGGGTAAACACAGCAAACGTTAAAGTGGAGGGGGAATCCCCTTTAGTCACACAAGAAAAAATAAAGAGAACCCAATCAGCATGCCACGCCTTTATGCTTGATTGATAGCCAATGACAGGAGAGAAAATAAGAACTTGTCACTTCCCCCCCTTCAACTTGAATGACAAGTAAGAAGGAAATGAATTTTGCTTCTTCACCTACCCACCTTAATGAATGAATGACGGGAATTTCCCCTTCTTGCTTGAAACGTTCTAGTTCAAAATGGCGGAGAGAGCAATTAATATTTTCATAACTGTAAATTTTTTTAGTTTCCTATATTTATTTTTATAATAGCAATAATTATTTTTTTTTAAATATTTTGTTTTTGATTGATTAGATATCATTCTAATACTAAAACATTATTGCCCGAAAAATAATGTTATTTAATTTCTGCTTCTTAGATTCAGATCATTTTAATCTCTGTTTACCTTGGGGGTCTATTATACGGAAAAATCGATTATCCGGACTTCGGAAAGTCCCGCCGATTCCGGATACGCGACTTTCCACTGTATATATATAAATAAAATAAAAAACTAATGAATGTTGGTTAAATAGCAGAAACTTAAATGTAAAAATAGCTTACACTTTTTTTATGTATTCTTGAAAAGGCTTTAGTTGGAGCAAAGAATTCACATTTAGTATTTGGATCATCATGTAATATAACTATTGATTTCTGGAAAATGTGAAAAAATTAGTAATATGCAAAACATTAATTGATTTTAAAAATGATACTCATTCTCTAAATGATGCAGTTTATAAATTAGCATAAATTCTTAGTTAAATGTTATCGCATTTAATATTTAGAGCTATTTGGAATAAAACAATTTAAATACATAAAAAATTAGGATGCAATTATTTGGAATCATATATTTTACATGGTTGAATATTTATGCTTTTCACAATATATAATTCATTTGTCTACAATTGTTTTTAAGCAAATTTAATCTTCTGATGAAAAATTATATTAATGCGATAACATAACAAATGCATAATATATATAATATAATAAATACAATATAATAATAATAAGATAAATATATGTTTAAGAACTAATCCAGATAGCTATCTTATTACTCAGTGCATTAGTCCTGGCTGTCCAAAAAAAAAATTTATTTACTTTTAAAAAAAGAAATCTAGTTAAAGAAACATTTAAAAAATAATAGCTATGGACAGTTTTAAACAGACTAAACTTTTATTAAAAAATTTACAAAGGACAAAACAAAAACATTTTACCAGAGAAATATTTTCAACTTTAAATCCATCAGATGCTTCTAGTGTAATTTCATTGTTCAAAGACTTAGAGGATATCAATTTCCCATGTTTGCTCCTGGCACTACCTAAAAATTATAAGTATAATACACTACTTTATATCACACCCCATATTAATAAAATATACCATTTCTCATTAAAGTGAGAGTCCCTTAAATTTATTGCATTAGCCACTGCAATCCCCAGACCGCAATCTGATTAGGTATGAGGAAATATTCTGATATTTAGATCTATAATGATCCAATATTGGAAAGTTCTATTTCAAATACTACGAGTGGTTTATCGACATCTTGTACCAATAAAAATCACTTAACACTGCGTCCCTGTGGCAGAATTTTTTGAGGCTTTCTGCAACAAACCTCTCTAGCACTAATATTTTTCTGCAAGATACATTTAATAATAACTAATATACATGTTATTAATTCAAAGTTACAGAAACATATTTACAAAGAAAATTCTATTTAGATGTAATAAAATTGTACATATTTTTTTTAAAATGAATATGTAATATTTTTTAAATTCTAATATAGGCTATATTCTCATATTTTTTGAGAGAAAAAACACACTAATTATTTCTTTTTTCGCATTTCGTAAATCATCATCACATAAAAAAAATTATAATTAATCTTCCCCTCTGATGCATGAAAAAGGTATCTCTTGAGTATAATTGTGCAGGCAAAAAAATCTTTCAAACATTTCTGTAGAAAAAATTTTTTTTGCTACACTATTCTTTATTTTTCATTCTTCTCAAATAAGAAACGAAAAATTGAGAACATTTCTTTCCCCTCCGATGCGCGAAAAAGGCATCTTTTAAATATAATTTTAGAGAAAAAAATTTAGAAAATTTTTGCAGAAAAGAAAACCAAAATTTTTTACTTTCCAAAGGGAAATTCTTTCTGCTAGAACTGTGTAACGTTCAGCGACAATTTCGACGTTCTTCTGCCATGCGGCACCGTGATAAAGGTGAGGGATTTCGAAATAAACTATTGAGAAGATTGCCTCGACCTGATAATGACTAACACTCAGAAAAATGATATTTGAATTCTTTCAAACAGCATAAACTCTATCCAACAAATGGCCAGTTGGGCAATGCGTGAGGGACAAGATCAGAACTAATATTATTAAAATGAGTGAAACGCCTATTTTTACCCCATCGAATCCATTTGTAGAGGATTCCGTCACATAGTAGTATCAGGGCTAATGAGATTGCATATTCCCTAGTCAAAGAAGGTGCATGTGATTCCACGATGTCCTCTAATCCTCTAACTTTCACAAAGCTTTTCTCCAAAACACGATACCAACGACACCTGGCTTGTTCCTCCTGTATATCACTGATACAGAAGTTACTGCATGGGAGGCTCTTTAAGCCCTGATTGCAACAGATTAAGACAGACCATCTCATCCGTGGCCACACTAGAACTATAAGGTATTGCAAAAGGACTGAGTTAAGTGCTTTGAGACACGCGTAAATGCTTTCACACACAAGTGTCATTCTTAACTGCTTAGAACTCTCGTTTCAAGACCTTATGGATCAACCTTTGATTGTCCTTGATTTTCTTAGGATAAACTTCATTATGGACTTGATTTATCTTTACTGATCGCTTGGGATAAGAAACAAAACTTTTGAAAAGTTGGTCATAATAAAACTACCAAGTACATCAGTAATAGAACCAGTATTAAAGTCCCCACAATAAATTCTAAATGGATAGAAATATGAATTTAAAAAAATTTAAAAAAATATTTTAAATAAACATACCATATTCTTTACATGATACCCATGCAGTGCCATCTTTTTCCCTAAAAGATAAATAAGCCATATTTAACATAATAAATGAAAAAATTTCGAATTTTAAACCAATTTAATTTTTTGTATACTATAAAAATAAATTACACATTAATTTTAAACCTAGAACATTAACTAGAAATAAGTAATACACTTCTTTTTTAACAATTCAACAGAACCTTAATTCATTAAAAACAATTATATATACTTTAATCAGAAAATTGTGGTTCAAGAAATAATTCAATTTCTTAAAAAACACTTTTTTAGATTTGTGATGAAAACATATATTATATTATATATCACATTATTATATCAGCAAAAGTAGTGCTTTTTAATATATTTTATTAATATAACATAAGCAAAATATATCAATACAATAATATGAGGAGCATCAGAAAAAGATAAACTGATTCAAAAACAAAACAGTCTCAAGCAAAATTCACTAAAAATTCAAGAAAAATAGAAAATGGAATACAAAAAGGAACATATTACACCACTACCCTCAATTTACACTTAATTTTATATTTTGTACAGTTTTCTTTTTCTCACATTACTGTATTGATACATTTTGCTTTGGCTATATCAATATAATATAAGAAAGCACTATTTTTGTGGATACAATCGTGTAAGCTAATGGCAAGATTATATCTTTTAGTTGTTTCTCTATTTTTTAATTTTTTTTGCAAAAATAATTTATTTTTTTTACATTTATTATTTTTCCTTTCTTGTTTTCTTTGTAATTTTATCTTTCATATATATATGCATATATATGATAGGGATAACATTAAAACTAAATATAAACAAAAAGCTATAAAGCACAGATATTATCATTATGTTACTGAGAAAGATTAAATGAATCTTGAGACATATAACAACCTTGAAAGTACAATATTTTCTTGGTTTTTTTAAAAAAAAGATGGCTAGGACACTACTTCTAAAATTGGTCGATAAACTAAATATTCAATGAAAGTATCCACATAAGTAAAAAAGTTCCAACCATGTAATGTAAATGAATAGCGAGGCACTTGACCAGTTACAGTAAATTTCATCACGGATTAGTAAATTTCGTTAGAAATTAGAACAGCTATAAAAATTACAGATATCCTCACTAGAAATTATAATTAATAATCTTAATAAAACAACTCTCTGTTCCAATATATAAAACATATTATATTCAATATTGACAACCATTTAAATGAATATCATGTCATTATATGCCAGAGTTAATTTTCTAGTCCATATGCTATTTCATTTTCTTAAATTTTTAAAAAAAAATTATTTAATTTAAAGTTTATGCCCTGTTAACTGATGCTATTCAAATAACTAATATAAATAGATATTTAAAATTGCAAAGTAATATTGATATTTTATAAATAAAACTTTTTGAAGTTAAACAACTTGAAAACTATTTGACCAATTTCGTTCATATTTTTTCACTTAAAATGTTAAAATTCATATACCTTAAAATAGATTTTTTTCGACTATTATTAAATATAATGAAATCGTTATTTTACATAAAATTATCTACAGATGAATGAATTTTATAATTGCATCTAAAAAAAATTTTATTAATTTGAATAGTGAAATACACAAATGAGAAAATTTACATTAATTTATCCAAATTTTTTTTCTGCTGTCCAAACAAGACTATTTTTCAAATTGCAGCCCCCTCCCCCATATTTTGAGGGTCAAAACTCCTAACCCATCGGGGGGAAATAAGACATTCATATGGAGAAAATACATTTTTGTGTCTGATTTTGAAATTTAAAAGCTTATCTACACATATAATACAGCATATTTAAAGTTAGGCGCTCAAGCCATTAAAATAAGAATCCTTTTTCTCTACATACTGTACAGTTACCGATGCTCATAAATGGTTCTGAAATGAATGATGACAAGAAATGGGTCACATACAGCAACACTGGCCGAAAACGATCGTTGTCAAAGCGCAGTGAAGCAGCTGAAATGGTTGTCCAACGGTCAGGAAAATTTTGCTGAGCATTTGGGGGGACTGGAAAGGAATCTATTATGAGTTGCTTCAATATGGTCAGATGCTAAATTTGGATCAAAACAACAGGACCAATTGCAGCTACAGATTGATCAGAAACAGCCAGGATTGGAAACAGGAGAAGTGTTGTGTTCCATCAAACAAAACCAGGACACACATACCAATAGTACCTCGCCAGAAACACCGGGAAGTAGGTTGGGAAGTTTTGATGCATCCACCATATAGTCAGAACCTAGCACCAAGCAATTACTGTTTCTCTTGCCTTGCAAAACTTCTTTAATGATCAGAAATTGGTATCAAGATAAGATTGTGAAAATAAAATACTAGAGTTTTTTGCCAATATGGATCAAAACCACCATGAAAGAGGCAATGTGAAGCTACCTATAAAATGGCAACAAATTATAGCACGAAACAGGGAAAATTTGAGCAAAATTTGTAATTCAAAACATGATAAACTAAGACTAGAAGTTCACATAAAAATAATTTATTTCTTTTTCCCTAACCTAATATGCACAAACGGCGCTTGCAAAAAACATTTTAACATTGTGGAAAAATTTTTAGTATTACTCATTACAAACATAGCCAAGTATAAGGTAAAACAATGCAACTCACTAATTAGTTTCATATCATCAAAAAACTGCTAAATTGAAAAAAAATATGTGTTGGTAGGAGTACTAATGAATATAGGATTTTATAAAAATTAGAACACTTTCAAAAAACTCATTATTTCTCAAACAAATTTAGTCAGAATTAAATGGTGAGAAATGGGTTAAAACTACAAGAGTCAATAAATTGCATGAATAAAGTTTGTTAATTAAAATTTTAATTTTGAAGGAAGTTTCTAATTTTTTCTATCTCTGTGACAGACTAAATTTTTTATCAAAACAAGAAGAAAAAAATTAGAAAAGTGAAATCCAATTTATTATTAAGAAAATTTTTTATTTATGCTTAAAATAATTCATGTAATACAAAGAGATTTCCACAACAGCATTATATATGCTATGAAGCTGTTACAGGACAGTTAAATAAAGGATAATCTATCTTGATAGATAATATAAAGATATGTCTTGTGAAAAATGGGACCATATAAAACAACAGTAAATACTTAACAAAATTTATGGTGGGGATATTTCTGTATTATGATCTATCTTGCCAGCTACAATCGCCAAACTTGGATTTTAAACTTAAAAAAACATGTAAAGGTTTATGGCATGCGCTATACCCTTTGAATCGGTGGGGAGATTTCCATACTGTGATCTGCGGCAGAATAATCGGCAAGTCTTGACAACTTCCGGGCAGCGGCTTGTAAGAAACTTTAAAAAATATCACAAAAAGGGACCAAGTTAAAAGGTATAACTCGTAACTACAAACATCTACATGTTTTCTCTTTTTAAATTGCAAGTTTAAAATCTATTTGGCACCTTGGCGATTGTAGTTGGCTTGACAGATCACGATACGGAAATAATCCTCGAATTGGTCCTTTCTGTAATGTTTAGTTATTTTGCGGGCCACCAATCGGATGTCACCAAGTCTTAGCAATTATTTCTGCTGTTTCAGATACGGAAATCTTACCATTATAATAATTTAATTAATACAGAGTAATTCTCAGATACACAATAAGATCCATTTACACTATAATAAACCGTATTTCAGAAGTGTATTGTTTATTTCTCTTGTGAGTTCTAATTCTTCGTGTTTTAGCGAACACATTATCTCACTCTCTTGCCCAAGGAATTCTTCCAGTTTTTTAAATGTCATTGTTTTAGCAGCTTGAAATAATAACCTACTGTTTTCAAATGGATTATTTTTATACGCTATATAAAGCATTTCGCAGTACGATATAATACTCCGTTGTTCTTCAAGTTGTCGTGACAGCAAGGCGAATTCTTTTGATATAAAAATATCCATGTCTTTCTCTTGCACTACATGCTCCTTAGCATCGTTTGCATTCATGTTTAGGTCAAATTCAATTCTCAAACTACTAGTAATGTAATATAGTAAACATTTGCCCTGCTACATATGATTAGAACACTTTTTAAAAAAATAGTATCATACCACAGGGCTTCTAATATACTATAATATAATACCTTAAAGCTTCATCCCAGTCACATTGCAGAGATAATAAAGATTTTTTAATAACAGTCGGAGTAACAGAAGAATCCATAATGAATTGTTTACATAAAAATATCTAGATGTCTTTACATAAAAATATCTAGTCTTTGATGCCGACTTTTCTTTACATTCGAGGAGTTTTCAGTATTGATTGATTGATTATTATAAGAAACGTCTGTGGTTGCTTACTTCAGTTAAGCACAAGATTCAGCAGATAGTATTCATTCACTAGGTAGCGCTGCAAGCTCCTTACCACTTATATTTCCGGGCTGTATGTCAACCTTTACAACTACAGAATGTGGAGAGTGATTTTGAGCGAGCTGATTGGATTTCACGGTAACACCTTCTGTGACGTATGGCTGTTTTATTCCGCTATACTTGTTCTAATAAGGATAGAGCGATTTTGTTATAAAACTGTTTTTTCCAACTTGAAATGTCAGTTTTTTCGCCTGAGTAACTTCTTTTTTGATTTATAAATATAGGTCCCGCAGGGGACTGATTGTTAAAACACGGTTCCCAGCAGATCACTGAAGTCAAGTATCACTGGCTACTGTCAGTGTGTGGATGGGTGACCACTTGGATCAGTCTGCGTAGGGACCTAAGGTGTGCGGTATTGGTCCTCTTTAAACTGTTCTACCGTAAAATGCTCGACTTCGCGTGCAGGTCGTCGGGCTCTGTAGAGGATCAAAAATTGTGATGGCATGTCTTCGGATCATCCTCAGGGGTGTTTCCCAGACAGTTGCCAATAGCCCATCGTGCAGCTCTAGTGCAACGTGAATTAACTACAATAAATAAAATAGGAATTTTGTCCAACATTACCCTTAGAAGCAATGCTCGAAGTTTAGATAGGTAGGTACTTTATTTACTGTTATAAATCGAGCATGCTATCAGCGAGCCTCACGCTATTTTTGTTTATCATGTAGAGTTGCACTTTCGTAATCTGGCAACTTCTATTTCTTGTATATTCTGAGTTTATTTTTTCTAATCGTTCTTTTCCTTTTTGTTTCTAAGTTCTTATTAAATACTAATTTAAAATAGCTGTCACCTTTATTTTGCTAATATTTACAACATTTACATCCCACTAGAGCTGCACAATGGGCCCATTAGCAATAATCTGGGAAACATCTCTGAGGATGATGCGTTGTTATGTATTATTTCAGTACATATTAAATAAATGAGCAGGATCTAGCATCTCGCAAACACATTTAATAACAACTTAGCGAGATACACAAACACAAACTGAAACTAAACATAAATGTAAACTGAAACTAAAACTTAACAGTTGATACACAGTTACAGTTAATCTGGCTGATGCCACATCTCCCCCCTTTAAATATTTAGTCTATTGGGAGCTTTCACAATTCTTCCAGAGCGAGTCACAACAGTTTTTGAAGATACAAACATCCTTCTTCTGAGTTAACACTGTAGGATCTGGATCCGTTATTTCTGGTAAGCTCCATCTGTTATCTCTTTCTGAAAGAGCTTCCTCTAAATCATCGTTTAGCGGTGGAATCTGTAGTTTAGATCCTGGAATCAAATGTTTCCTATTCCGTCGAAGCACTTGTTTGCCTTCTTTAACAAAGTATGACCTTGGTGATTCAGCTTTTCTCTGTACAGTTCCAACAGCCTTCCTATCAGTTATCCATATCTTGTCACCCGGATGTATTGGTTTCAATTCATGAGCATTGTGCCTCCGATCATAATCCTTTTTCTGTCTTTCTATTCTTTTCTCTTCTTTTTCTTCCAATATCTCCTTCTCTATTAGCTTTGGTTGAAGTAGTGAAATTGCTAAAGGTAAGGTTGACTGTAGTCGACGCCCCATCAACAATTCAGCAGGACTGTAGCCGTTCTTTAAAGGTGTTGTCCGATAACTCAATAAAGCCAAGTAAGGATCTTTAGACTTTTTGAATCTTAATTTAATTATCTTCACTGCTGCTTCAACAAAACCGTTGCTTTGAGGATATCTTGGACTTGAAGTAATGTGCTTAAAACCGTATACTTTTGCAAAGTTTTGAAACTCTGCTGTTCTAGTAACTTCAAACTGTGGTCCATTATCTGATCTTACAACATTTGGAATTCCATGTCTGGCAAAAATTGATTTGCAGTGTAAAATTACTTCTTTTGATGTTAAACTATCCAGTTTTGCCACTTCTGGATAACGTGAGTAAAAATCTGTAACTAATAAATACCATTCTGCATGGAGTTTAAATAAGTCCATAGCTACAATTTCCCATGGTCTCTGAGGAAAACTAGTTGGTTTCAAAGGTTCAGAACAGTTTTTAGCTTCCTGTATACATGAAGGACAGTCCCGAACTAATTCCTCTATTTGTTTACTGATGCCAGGCCAGTATACTGCTGAATTCGCTAAAGCTCGACATTTATTAATTCCCATATGCCCTTCATGGATTTTGCCCAATATTTCTTGTCGTAGCCTATTTGGCACGATTATTCGGTTTCCTCTCATTAACAAGCCATTCTGTATGGAGATTTCATATCTTAGAGGCCAAAAGGGTAAACAGGATGGTACTATCTGGTTTTTCTCCGGCCAACCTTGAGAAGCGTAATTGATCAACATATTACATGTTGAGTCAGTCTCTTGTTCTAGTTTTATCTGGGAAAGTCTCTCTGAAGACATCGGAACAGATTCTAAAACTTGATTGATAAAAGCTTCAACTTCCTCTTCCAATTCCAGATTTGGAGTTTCTTGTTGATGTGGTGCTCTAGATAGTGCATCTGCTACGCAAAGATTTTTCCCAGGAGTGTGGAAAACATCAAAAGAATATCTCATGAGCCTCATTTTGAGACGTTGTAGGCGAGGTGTTAAATCATCCAAAGATTTTCTAGTAAGTATTGGGACAAGAGGTTTATGATCTGTCTCCAAAAGAAACTTGGTACCCATTAGATAATTGGAAAATTTTTCGCATGCCCATGTAAGTGCAAGGGCTTCTTTTTCTATCTGAGCATAACGTTGTTCAGTAGGAGTTAGAGTTCTGGATGCATAAGCTACCACCTTGATTGTAGAATCATGCTTCTGACACAGTGTGGCTCCTAATCCATAAGAAGAAGCATCGGCTGTAACAATTGATTGTTTGTTTGGGTCATAGATGGTAAGTATAGGTTCAGATAACAACATGTCTTTTAACTTTTTTAGTGCGGTTTCCTGAGGAGAGTTCCAAACAAATTTATTCTTTGTGGATAACATAGAAATCAAAGGTGCCATAATATCTGAAAATCGTGGAATAAATCTTGCTAAATAATTTGCCATTCCAAGTAGCTGTTTCAGTTCAGTTTTGTTTGTTGGGCTTCTGAAATTTTGTATGGCTTTTACTTTGTCCTGATCTGGGTGTATTCCTGAGTCATCAATGACATGACCAAGATATTTTATAGATTTAACAGAGAAACAGCATTTTTGTTTATTAAGAGTGATTCCCGTTTCTTTCAGACGGATTAAAGTAGATGTTAGACGTTCATCATGCTCTTTTTGATTTGAACCCCAGACGAGTATATCATCCATGTGACATATAATACCAGGAAGACCTTCTAAAGCTTGTGACATTCTACGTTGAAAATGTTCTGGAGCAGATGATATTCCGAATGGTAGACGTAAGAAACGAAATCTGCCAAAGGGTGTGATGAATGTTGTGAGATATGAAGATTCTTCATCAAGAGGAATTTGCCAAAACCCAGAGTTTGCATCTAATTTCGAAAAGATTTTCGCCCCAGCCAAAAGTGATAAATTGTATTCTGTTGTTGGCAATGGGTGCCATTCTCTTTTGATGCTTCTATTGAGTGTCGTCAAGTCGACACATATTCGCACACTTCCATCTTTTTTTCGTACTACCACTGCAGGAGAACACCAATCAGTAGGTTTTTCTACCTTCTGAATAACATTTAATTCTTGCATTCTCTGTATTTCTAGTTTAGTTTTCTCCAGAAGTGGTATTGGAATTCGACGTGGAGAAGTTAGAGCATATGGTTTAACATCACTATTAAGTTCAACATGGTAACTTCCTTTCAGTAAGCCAAGTCCTTGAAATAACGAAGGAAATTCATGAAAAGGATTAAAACTTGTAATGTTGAGCACAGACTGAGATTGGATATTGGGACCAAGTCCAAAAAATTTTATGGCAGGTTTTCCTAATAAACATGTTTGGAGTCCTTCTATAACATAAATTTCTTCTAAGCACTTTTTTCCATTATATTCAACATTTTCAAGCAGTTTTCCCATTAACTTCAAGGGTGTTTTATCGGGGCCAAAAATCACTTTATCTGTACTTTTTAGTTCTGCATGTTTGAGTACTGTGGAGGCAATACTGCTTGGAATAACAGAATAGTCTGCACCACTATCAATTTTAAATTGGATGCATTTTCCTAGTATTTTAACAGGAACAACCCACTCATCTGTGTTTTGTGTACTTCCCACTAGTCCTACAAAACCAGCATCACAAAGTTCATTGACTCTTTTAATAGTAGATAAACAAACATTATCCCAATGTCCTCTTTTCTTGCATTTTCTGCAATTTGAGTCCTTTGCTGGGCAGTTTCTTTTTTCATGTGGCTGTTTACCGCACCATTTGCAATTTTTTCGCTGATAATTAGTTTTCGAATCTTGATATTTACTTTTCGAATCATGAAAATTACTTTTGTCTGCATTAGTTGTTTTATTATATTTCTTCTTTTGACTAATAGCATTAACTGTAGAATTTTCAACTAGTAGTGATTGTTGTTTCTTAACTGATTCCGAAAGACGTACTTTGTCAATTGCAGTTTGCAGGGTAAGTTCAGAATCAAGTTGTAATTTTTCGCTTAAAGTTTGATCTTTAATACCAACAACTATACGGTCACGAAGCAATTCGTCATGTAAATTACCATATTCACACTTGTCAGCAAGAGCATATAAAGCAGTAATAAAATCATTGACAGACTCACCTTCTTTTTGAATTCGCCGATTGAACTGAGCTCGTTCGAATATTATGTTTCGTTTAACAACAAAGTGAGTGTCGAAACTATTCAAAACCTCCTGGAATTTCTTTTTATCCTCTTCCGATATACTGAGCGAAAGAAATATGTCCTCGGCTTTATCACCCATGACGTATATGAGAGCATCCACTTGTTCCTCATCTGTTTTTGTTATTAGTCCAGAAGCAGTTCGGAAACGTAAAAATCTTTGT